TCCAGCTATTTCTGCTCAGTCCTGGGTTCAATATTGGAGATGTGCCATCCCTCTCCTCACACCAGTGTGAGTATTGGATTGTGTGAGGCAGGCAGTGGAAATCAGGAGTCAAGGAAGCTGTTGTCTTTGCTCATGGGGAAGGTTTATTGCCCTACATTACTGCTGCTGGTAGAGATGTAGGAGGAGGTAGAGAAGGCAGGGGGAGAGAGACAGGAGCCAGCGGTTGTATCACCCTGCAACTCACAACTGGCAACCCACTGAAGTGAAGCAGGTTTGAGACCTGGGAAAGCTAAGGTTGCTGCTGGAAGAGGGGTTAGTGGGGCCAGTAGGGGAGGCTCACCCTACGGTCTGTGTGGGTCCTAATGCTCCAGTATAGTGGCAGGGACACTATATTGTAAAAAGGCAGCATCCTTCAGATAGACGTTAAAACAAGGGTACTTAACTCTCTGTGGTCATAAAAAAATCCCAGGGCTTTTCTCGAAAAACGTAGGAGTGTTACCTTGGTGGCCTTGCCAAATTTTCCCCTTGCCTTTAAAACAAGGGTTACTGATAGCTGATGTGTGCTGAGCGTACTGACACACTATGGCTGGTGTATCATCCTCCAGGTACAGTAGGTGCTCTTTATTATTATTATTTAGCATTACGCTGATGGCTCATGGGGAAGGTTTATTGCCCTACATTACTGCTGGTAGAGATGTAGGAGGAGGTAGAGAATAGACGTTAAAACAAGGGTACTTAACTCTGTGGTCATAAAAAAATCCCAGGGCTTTTTTCAAAAAAAGTAGGGGTGTTACCTTGGTGGCCTTGCCAAATTTCCCCCTAGCTGATGTGTGCTGAGCGTACTGACACACTATGGCTGGTGTATCATCCTCCAGGTACAGTAGGTGCTCTTTATTATTATTATTTAGCATTACGCTGATGGCTCATGGGGAAGGTTTATTGCCCTACATTACTGCTGGTAGAGATGTAGGAGGAGGTAGAGAATAGACGTTAAAACAAGGGTACTTAACTCTGTGGTCATAAAAAAATCCCAGGGCTTTTTTCAAAAAAAGTAGGGGTGTTACGTTGGTGGCCTTGCCAAATTTCCCCCTAGCTGATGTGTGGTGAGCGTACTGACACACTATGGCTGGTGTATCATCATCCAGGTAGGTGTTCTACATTGGGAGTGGTAGAGGGGAATGTTCATTATCTGTGGTTTATTATTATTATTATTTAGCATTACGCTGATGGATAAAAGTTTTCTTTAAGTTTTTAGTACACAGAGGCTTTGCTAATAATTATGAAAAGCTGTCATTAAGGTTTACAGTCTTACAAATCGACTTATGGAAAATTAAATCAAAATGTATCGGGATTGCAGTCTTTAAACAATGTCATTTTAAAATATGCAGTGATAATGAAAAGGGCACAGAATTAATTCTTCATTGAACAATGAGTATCTGTAACAGCTTTGAGTTTTTCAGACTTCATGAGCTGAAAGATTTGACAAACTGGTTTGAAAATGAAGTGCAGCAGTTTTCTTCACAGGTGATTAATCAAAGTACAACGCTTTGGTATTCACCCCCTTCCAATGATGTCACATTACAAATGATGTGAACACATTTTTAAATATTTGAAACAAAACTTGAATGCTCAAACTAAACACTTTGATGAGTAAAATACATTTTTCATGCTTTCAAGTACATTTTCAAGTAGTCCAAGTAGTATTTCATGTGCACACATTTGAAACATTTTTGAAGCATGAAGACAATTATAAGGGTGGGGAAGATTATTATTATTAGGTTGGGTATTTTGAAGTTGAACGTATCAAAATAAGAGGTAATCTAC